CGTAACAATGTGTAGTTATTCTACATCTCTTAATTAGTTTTTGTTTTTAAATTAATAGAATTACCAACTAATTGTATGGAATTAAGTTTTACTTTTTTTTTTTACTTTTTTCGCTGTGAAAATATTTTTTCTGGCTTTGCGAGCTTGTTTTTTCACTGTAACACACATATATATATAAACGTTCGTTTACTAAATAACTATATATATATATATATATATATGATAAAACTCGAATCCTATCTTTTTTAACCGAATTTTTCTTACTTACCAAACTCTTCTTCATTCAACCAAATTCGTAGCATCACTGGTTTTGAGTTTTCTTATACATTTCACCCTGAAGTGAAACCACTTTGAATTACAGTTGTAATATCACAACGAAATACCAAGTTAGGTTTTAAATTGTCTAGATAAGCCAGATGTTTTTTTGTTTTGTTTTTAAATGTGATCCGAGGTTTGTTTAGAATACCTCGTCCAGTAAGCTTTTGGTTATTTTTTAGCTTGGTTACCTTATTTTACATGTTGTGTTTTTGTACTGATACACACACGTTGGTTTTTTTACTCGAGTTTTAAACTTAATGGAACTTAACAGTTATTTCTTCATTTTCTTAATCTCTCTTATGAATTCCTCCGTTTCTGTCTGACATGTGTAGCGGACGTTATAGGTGAGCTGAAAGAATTGATTTAATTAAATAAAAACCTTAACTTTTACTCCGAATGTAAAACAAATTAGTCAATTCTCTGTTTTCAACCACTAGGCATTTGATGTACTTAGCAGTTTGAAGGTAAACCTAATCTGGTGGGAGCTGTAGGTGAGTGTGAAACCAGTGTGCAGTGTGCAGTTCAATTATGAAAAAAATAATAACTTCTACATATATGACTCCATGAGTAAGAAAAACAATGTGCAGTGTACAGTTCAATTATGAAAAATATGAACAAAAATAATAACTTCTACATATATGACTCCATGAATAAGAAAAACAATGTGCAGTGTGCAGTTCAATTATGAAAAAAATAATAACTTCTACATATATGACTCCATGAGTGAGAAAAACAGTGTGCAGTGTGCAGTTCAATTATGAAAAAAATAATAACTTCTACATATATGACTCCATGAGTGAGAAAAACAGTGTGCAGTGTGCAGTTCAATTATGAAAAAAATAATAACTTCTACATATATGACTCCATGAGTGAGAAAAACAGTGTGCAGTGTGCAGTTCAATTATGAAAAATATGAACAAAAATAATAACTTCTACACATCTGACTCCTTGAGTAAGAAACTCGAAAGATTCTTCTTTATTGGTAGAAAATTTTGACACGACTTCAATAGTTCACAAAGTACCCTTTAGTTAGAAGTTATTAATAAATTTAAACTTTCAATAACTCTTCTCAGTGTGAAAAAGTCCATGGTAGCGATTTTTGTCATTATTTTTTATGGCTTTTGATCTTTAGATTTTGCAATTTAGAGTCCTACAAATCTCTTCATTTGTTGAAACTTTTAAAATGATTAATCTTTCAGCAGTATTATACTAGACAGCTAAAGTATATTGTGTTGTTCGGTGCATAACTGTTTTTTTTTTTACGTTTCCCTGTTTTCTTTCTCTCTCTCTCTCTTGAAAAGTTCACAATATCGAAAACGTTAGTGTTATTTTTCACACTTACTGACAGAAAGAATTAAAAACCAAATCTATTAAGGTTTTATATGTGTTGAGTAGGATACTGATATTAAATGTCAAAATAGAAATTTATCCATACCTATGTACTCAGGACAAAGGAAAAAATACTTTTAATATCTGCTATTGAATCACCGGCGTGTTTAATGGATTACTTATATATCGATTCAAAGACGGTCTTTTCCTTCAATATGACTCTTTATTGAAGATCCAACGAAAAAACAAAACTGATTCAAGACATTGAGAAGTGAGTCAAAGCCAAACTACTGTGTATTTCTATGGGCTTGAAAATAATATATATATTTCATATCAATCATTCTATGTCAATAAAATAAATTACATTAGTCAAAGAATTTTTATGTTATCATAATTTCTCTTTCTGACTCGTCAATGTTGTTTCTTCGAACAACCTTCTTTCAAGCCTGCGATTCATTAAAACCACGTGCATGCTGAGGATTATCACAAAAGGTACGGTTCGGAGAAGAAAAAAAAAAGAGTTCTCCAAAGAAATCCTCAATACGTGAAGTGCGTTTTCGCCTTCAGGCACTCTTCGTCTGTTTTTCATAACTTTTCTTAAAATAAATAATCCTCTTTCCAGCTATGAATTTATTGAAAGTAACCTTCTAATTAATTAAAAACAAAAACAAAAGGAATTTGAAAGGTAAGTTTATTTTAACAACAAAAAATGTTTTTTATACATAAACATTGAGTTAGAGGATATAAACTTTGTTTTCCTTTAGATGAATTGTAACTATTTTTAAACATTTTCACTATATATATTTTGCTGACTTTTGTTGTAATTGTAAGCCTTTAAGATACGAGATGATGATAGGTATATCTCAATAACATAACTAACTCCACCATCGTCTTACTAATGATAAATGTGCAATATCGCTGTTAATGTTTGCCATGGATTGATGCTTGTTATTCCAGAGAAGTAGAAATATTTTTAAAACTAATACATACCCAAAACTATTGTTATTCCAGAGAAGTAGGAATATTTTAAAACTAATACATACCCAAAACTATTGTTATTCCAGAGAAGTAGGAATATTTTAAAAACTAATACATACCCAAACTATTGTTATTCCAGAGAAGTAGGAATATTTTAAAACTAATACATACCCAAAACTAAACCCCTAAATATAAAGTAATTTTTAGATAATGAGATGTGTATAGGAACTTAAGTAGGGGGATATCGGGAAAGCCACGTGCGCTAATTTTTCAGCCCGTAGAAACGAAAAGTAGTCGTGATAGCTTTAGCTTAACTGATTGATTTTGCCGATCACAAGGCGTTATTGTCGTGTCTGATTGGTTGATTTGAGAACCGAACACGCCATTTTGTTAAAGCCTTCAACATGTATCATGTCTAGTTCCGTGTTGAATCGCCATTCACTAGATTATTGTTACATTTGTAAATGTTCAGTCAGCAGAAAAGAAATCAAATTATTTTTAAAAAACCGCCGTGCCCATATGTATATTTACATGCACGTATGAATATATATAGTACCTGAATTACTAATACATACCATATGAGTCAAAAAGTTCTTGATTTTCGATATTTTTGTGAAACAGCTGTGGTAAATATAGAATCTGCTGATATATCGTGTTTAGGCATTTTGAGGGCGCCATTTGTTACCTGACCTAACCACAGCTTAATACGATCTAAGGTCACATGGTTATACATTTAATCGCTATGATGTAAAAAGCATTATATTTTACCATTCAAAAACATTATCATAATTTTCGTCAGCGATTTGGTCACTGATAATTGTCGTTTGTTTATTTTTCTGAATTGTTTGCTTGTTGGGAATTAAGCACAAAGCTATACAATGGGCTATCTGTTCTCTACCCACCACGGATATCGAAACCCGCTTTCTAGGGTTGTAAGTCTGCAGACATACCGCTCTGCCACTGGGGGTGGGGCTTTCTGAATTATGGTACAGCTCTGGATTTCGGAGTTGGCGAACCGTATTCGAATCCGTGCGATATCACAAAATATTTTAATATTTTACACTATGAGTGTGTTATAAGAGTGACAGCCAGTCTCTTGGCATGAATGGTGGATATTACGACGTTGCTGATTGGCTGCCTTACCTCTGGTCGGTAGTTTATAATTAGGGACGGCGGCGAATAGCCTCAGAAGCTTTGCCATGTCCCCCAGTGGCACAGCGGTATGTCTGCGGACTTACAACGCTATAAACCGGGTTTCGATACCCGTGGCGGGCAGAGCACAGATAGCCCTTGTGCAGCTTTGTGCATAATTAAAAACAAACAAACAAGCTTTGCCATAATAAATGAAAACATAATAATAAAATACAGTTTTATGTGAACGTAATATTTGTTTTTGTATTATTTTTTTCCATTGCGGTGGAAATTTTCTTGCCCTTACTCATTTGTGTCACGCTTTCTTTTCATCGTATATATCAAACTAAGATGTTCTAACTTTTCAGTCTCCACGTTTGTGAGGTGGGACGTGGCCTAACGGTTAGTGTCTCGAACTGCGGATCATAAGTTCCAGTTAATTGAGACATAATGCTGCTGGATACGCTTTGTATTTTCTGTTGTGGGCGCGTCAAAGAAAAAAAAAAGTGGCAGTCAATCAGACTATTTGAATTAAAGAACCCGGACGAAGTCCTTGTGGTGACATATTCTACTGACTGGCTCTCTTCACTCTGGTCAGTAGTTTAAAATTAGAAACAGTTAAGTTATGCCCGAATCTTGGAGATCTCTGACCTGGCCGCTTAGCCCCTGCGTTTCATAACGTACCATTTTCCGTTAGTTGTAGAGAGCATGACGTTAACAATAACAAAACACGTCGTTGATACGTTTACTTCTACTTAGAACTGATATGTTTTTCAAAACCAAGAATACTGTTTCCGATTTTAATAAAAAATATATAATTATGTTTACTGTCTTCATAGATCGTCCATCTACACCTATGTTAAAAGTATCTGTTACCACGGCAACGTCTATTACGGTGACATGGGATGCTTCAAGCGATCCAGACTGCCCAGTTTCAAGTAATAACAACAACAATTATTTTTGTTTTATTTATTTATATTTATTGAGATATTATATATAGTACTTGACGCTTAAAAATCCAATAAAACTTAAATAATGCTCTGTAATTCCTAATATTTTATTACTAATTTTTTTTTTCATTTTATAACTTCCGAATATATCGAAATTAGAATACATCCTGAACTACAAAATGGAAGGTACGAAGAGCTGGCAACAGATTAATATTCATGAGGATGAAAATACTCACACTCTGCTGTCATTAGACTGTGGCGCCATCTATCAATTCTACTTAGTGGCAATTAACGTAGTGGGAAAGAGTGAACCAAGCCAGACTATTTCGGCTAAAACAGCGGGCCACGGTAAGGACACGTTGTTATTATATACATATAATTTTAATTAAACTTGGTTTTACTATAAGCTACAATACTCAAAACTTATTAATTAAATATTATTGTCGCCTTTTTTTTCGTATTTTTGTAGAAATTTAAATCAAAGTTTTAGTATTACCACTTAAAAACTGAGCAATCACGTGATATTTTTTTTTGTTGTTATGGTGACACAATAATCGTAAGTATAAGAAGATTATCTTACAAATTGAAAATCCCTTAAAGTTTCGTGTCTTGCAGTGAATGGACTTCATCCCCTAGTGAGAAGCGGTATCGGTGCTTTTTATATACTCAGACCAGCAAAAGATAATACTTTTTTATTCATTTTAGCGCAAAGCTTCACAATGGGCTTTCATGCTTATCTCTGAGCTACCGAGAGACACTTGGGTACACAGCAACTTTCTGGTTAAATTAATAAACGCACATACGCAATTTTTGGGCTTTCGAGTGCACTTAAAACTCACCTAATTGGTATGTTGTAAATCTAAAAAACATAATAGTAGACAAAAGATAGAAACAACACCTCTCTCTCTCTCTCCATAATTACCGAAATAGTATAAAATCAAAAATGGTGTCTCAAGAGGACTCGGTTTTGGAGAATTCCATAGAGTTACTGAAAACCTCTTACAAAAATATTACTTGAAGCAACACTTTTAGAATAACTAGTTGTATCTTATTTTCACAAACTGGAATTCTCAGGAAATTTAGTTGCTTTGGTTGCTGTTAAGCACAAAGCTACGCAATGGGCTGTATATAACTAAATAACTAAGGTATTGTAATTTTTAGTTGCTTTGGTTGCTGTTAAGCACAAAGCTACGCAATGGGCTGTATGTAACTAACTAACTAAAGTATTGTAATTTTTGGGTAAAAAAAAATCCGGGGTTCTCGAAGATTAAACAATCCTCCTTCGTCCCACACGCGATAATTAGTTTAAAGAACTAAATAGAAAAAAAATATGAACATATACATATATAAATATATATATATATATACTTATGCATACACACGCAAAATAAATCAGAGCAAGGGAAAGGAAGGGGAGGCAGAAGCAAAGGCGAAGCCTTGAGTAAACCTCGACAAAACCTTTAAGTTTGGTTGTTTGTAGTTAATCACAAAACGACACAATGAGCTATCTGTGCTCTGCCCACCACGGGTATCGAAACCCGGATTCTAGGGTTGTAAGTACGCAGGAAACCTTCAAAAAACGGCACCTCTTCTGAGCTATCTGTGCTCTCACCGTCTCAGGTATCGAAACCTTTTTTTTTTTTTGCTGAGCCACTGAGGGGGGGGGGGCTTCTCAGGAAATGATAGAGTGTTAATAAAACTGCAAATAAAATGTTAGGGAAAAAATAAGATCTTTGTGTGATAAAAATTGACATAAATTATTTATGAATTATATAGTATTACTTCTGTAAGTTTTTTTGCCTGTAAGTATGTTTACATGTGTATTGTGTGTTAATTTCCATATTATTAGGCATTTAAAAAAATCAAGAGAAAGACAGAAGTAACATTTATATTTCATGCAGTTTCACTATTTATCTTCTCTCATGTTCACTTCCCTCCCCTCCCAGTGGCACAGCGATATGTCAGGGGACTTATAACGCTAGAAACCGGGTTTCGATACCCGTGTCAGGCAGAGTACAGATAGCCCATTGCGTCGCTTTGTGCTTAATTACAAACAAACAAATCACTTCAATGGCGATGGGCAGTTTAATCCATAAAATAAAACTTTTCCCAATATTGTATAAGTTTTGTTAACCTACTTTATCATTATTAGAGATCTTCTGTAGAATAGAACAAAACGCCGTTTCAAGAGATAAAATTGTCTGCTTTTATTCACAGACTATATAACAAAAATATAACTAAGATTTATATCAAAAGTTTGAAATTATATTAATTAACCCTATAACTGATGTATAAAATCAATATAACTCTGTCATATATCTAACTTATATTTTGTATTTAAACTTCGGGCAACTTATAGATTAGATCTCATCTTAGAAAAAAAATTGTAAACAGTTTGCTTTTATTTGTCTGTTTTAGCACCAGTTGCTCCAGACAAAACGTTTTTTCTACGATTAACTCCACCTACATCATCCTCCACTTAAGTGTGTGGAGAGATGGAGGCTGTCCAATCAACTTTTATGTCATCCAGTACAGACAGCGGGAGCAGGTGGAGTGGACACTGGTATCTAACAACATTCTACCCGATCAGCAGGACATAATGATCACGGATATGAGTCCTGGCACGTGGTACACCCTATCGGTTTCCGCTCACAATGATGCGGGAATTACTGACGCTGAATTTGTTTTTGCGACGCTGACTCCAAGCGGAGGTAAAACGAAATAATCTAAACACATTCTCTAAACGAGCTTTCGTTTTCTTTGTATATTGTTAAGTTCTATAGTTTCCTCTACCAATAGATTGTTTATCACATGCAGCTGAAAGCTGTTCACTTGTGAATTCTTCTTACTTGAATCCTCCATTATTAGGACTACGTTTTAGGGTTGTAGTATAAATGTGTAAATAGATGCACGTGCAACTCGGTCCGCAATTCCGCTACAAGGCTTAACCGTATTAAGAACACCCAAATTCATCTCCGTGCAAGTGGAAAATGAAGGTTTGTTTGTTGTTAAGTAAAAATATACACGATAGGCTATCTGTGCTGTGCTGTGCCCATGATGGGTATCGAAATCCGGTTTTTAGCATCGTAAAACTGGAAACTTACTCACTGAGCCACTAGATTATCTTAAAAAAAATAAAACTCCTTAGTTACCAAAGCACATAAATCATTAATGTAAACTTCTTTGAGACAAGTTGTTCCAGAATTAAAATAAAGGCGAAGATGGATTAGATTTGGAAACAACAAATAACGAACTTTAAGGATTAAGATATTTGAATAAAAATTCCTATTTTCGAAAAGCCCTTTGAGGTTTACTCGAAAAAGTAAAGTGAAACCGAATATAGCTAAAATTTCTAAGAACGATTATAGATTAAGCCTCGAGAGCTTTAACAAAAAAGCTATTTTTTGAAAAGATTAAATCGGATTCATTTTTCTTCCAAAAATTATTTAAGATGGTTATGGGAAAAATTTTGAAAAAATACTAATGGTTAAAAAATGGCAATTTGAAAGAAAAAGCGCGCAAATAAGGATGTTTTAAATCCAAATAAAACTTAAAATTTCGAACTGTACAAAATTCTTCCAACAATAGCAAGGTCGAAACTTTAAAAGTTTAATGAAGAAATGTGCTTTTCGCGATGCTTAAACAGGGCGTTTATTTAATCCAGAATTAAAATTAATTAAAAAATAAACTAAATTTGGAAACGGTCAATAAAGAACTTTAAGATTTGAGATATTTGAATAAAAATTCCTATTTTCGAAAACCCTTTAAGAATGATCTTTTCTTGAAAAATAAAATAAAATCGGAGATAGCCAGAATTTCTAAGAAATGTTAAGCCTTAAACCTTGGAAGTGTTAATGTGCCACTGGGGTGCACAAGATGAAGGAAACATCGGCTATTTACCACTATAGTACTGTGGGCTTCTAATTCTAAGAAAAACATTTAATTTATTCCAGTTCTGTGTGAAACATACTTTTATTTCAAGTGAAATCATTCTTCTAATTTCAATGTGTCTGCAGCTCTGTATGTTACTTCAGACGTACTGGCTTTATAACATGTCAGATGTAGGCCTACATTTTTTTTATTTATTTTTTTTTTTAATACACAAGTAAACTCGGAGATATTGCCATCTTTTGAACGACTTTTTTATACCTTTGTGATCACAAACAGTGTATGAATGATGTTTTATGTTCAGAGTCACAGTTCGAGGAAGGAGGTTTTAGTGACTGTAATTTATCTTTGGAAATTATGTTGTTAAAGTTTATTTGTTCGTTTGTAGTTAAGCACAAAGCTACACAATTAGCTATCCGTGCTCTGCCAACCACGGGTATCGAAACCCGTGTAGCTTTGTACAAATAAACAAAAATAAGTGAAAAAAATGTTTTGTAATTTGGAATTAACAAATATCTGTCATTTAAAAAATAACGTTATATTATCTTTCCTTTATTTTCCTATTTATAATTGAAATACCTATTGAGAATTTTGCTTCTACTGAGTATATCCTAAGGAAGGGGTACAATAATTACAGCTTACAAATTTTTAGAAATTGTGAAAAGTTTCTCTTAAAATACAAAAAAAAAGTTACATTTTGATTATTTGAAGGAATTTAGAAATATGATATTGAAACCAAATGTTTTTTTTTTAGCTAAGACTTGTAATGAAAAATTAAAGAATAGTAGACACTATTGTAAAACACTGCGAAAGGTTTTGGATAATGAAACAGAATGTAAAAGTAGACGTCCTTCGGTGGGTCAGTGGTAAGTTTCCGACTTACAACGCTAAAATCTGGGGTTTGATTCCCCGTGGAGAATAAATCGCAGATAGCTTCGCAACTAAAAAAAAAAACACGAAAAAAAGAGAGTAAAGATTTGAAAAGAACATCTGGTTCGCTTAGGATAGAATTACAAACATTATATCCTGGTTGGATTTTATTCTCTATAAATCTTGTATAGAAGCAACAAATAATAAAGAACAGAAGATATCATTAAAACGTTGACTGTGGATCCAGATGAAGTTATACAAAACTTATCCCAGTATAAATTTACACAAATAGAAAAGAAAGTATTATTTGGAGCAGTGTTTTTCCAAAGTGGGAACCGCGACCCCACTGGAGGCCGTGAAGCTTTTACTGGGGGGCCGCCAAGAAATTGGCCGAAAACAAAGATGCTGAATTAGTTTTAATTCTAAATAAACAATAAGCCGATAAAAATTATGATGAATTAATTAAACGATACAGTATGTTGAAAGGAAATGCTATTCTTTTTACTACAGCACTGCTTTTCAATCACCATGCTAAAGTTACAGGTTGGGGGAGGGGGGTCTCAAACTTTTTTATTTACATCAAGGGAGCCTCAGACTAAAAGAGGATTAAAGTTTTAAATATCACCAAGGAAACTTGATAGTGATAATTATATTATGTTTGAAAAACTTCTGGAGAAATTAAAGGATACTTCTATTTATTGGAAAAACCGTAATAAATGTTGATAGTATTGTAACAGAAATGCCATGGTTGGCGTTAACTGATTTTTACTCATATAAAAGAAATGTAAAATTGACTAAGAACAAATGGAAGCAATTGATAATTTAAGTTAATCAAAGAAATATTTATAGTTTGTTTTTGAATTTCGCGCAAAGATACACGAGGGCTATCTGCGCTAGCCGTCCCTAATTTAGCAGTGTTATTTGCGCGCTAGTCACTCCTAATTTAGAAGTGAGACTAAAGGGAATAAAGGGAATGCAGTTACTCAACATCATCCACCGCCAACTCTTGAGCTACTCTTTTACCAACGAACATTGGGATTGGCCGTCACATTAAAACGCCCCCACGGCTGAAAGGACGAACGCGTTCGTTGACTGTGATTCGAGCACCCTAACCACTAGGCCATGCCAGGCCCTGGATTTTAATTCACACAAAAATAAGGAAGGTGAAAATTAAAGAAAGATATGCCATTAATGATAAAGTATTCAAAGATATTAAGATTTGATGATCAATGCTTTTTTTTCTTTCTGGCACTTTTATTTTTTTATTGTTCAAAGAGCTAACAAAGTTGTTTTTTTTATTGAGTTACTAAACTTTTCTGCTAAAAAAATATATCATTTTAATTTGGACTGGCGTATTCATAAAGAAATATATGATGTTATTTAGGGATGAAAATTAGACCTAGTCCAGCAAATTTTACTTACGTTGTCATGAAAATCAATGGCTTAATAACTTTCCAGACCCACTAGAAACCAAATGTATGTAAATGAACGTAGCTTTATTATATATTAGAGAAAAATAGCATGACCTGGCGGTTCAGATCCCCATCACCGAACATGTTACCCTATTCGATAGTACCCCAAGAGTTGGAGGTGGGTGATGGCGACTAGCTGCCTTCCTTCTAGTCTTACACAGCTAAATTAGGGACGGCTAGCGCAAATAACCCTCGAGTAGCTTTGGGCGAAACTCAAAATAAAACGTGAATTTTCTTTTAACCACACAATATCTTTAAACTAAATCCCCTGATGAGTCAGTGGTAAATCTACGGACTTACAACGCAAAAATCCGAGGCTCAATTCCCCGCAGTGGATAGAGCGCGGCCTTTGTATAGCTTTACACTAAAAAAACAACAGCTTTGCATTAAGTTTACAGTTAAAGAAGAAAATCACTCAATTTATTTTTTTTTATTCTTGATATTAATAACTTTTGCACCTGGTATGGAAGCCCTATCTGAACGGTTGCAAATGAGGAATATAAATGGCCTTACATATATTGTCTATATATGTATATAACTCACTCTGACACTTTAGATTTCCCTTTAGTCATTATTGTTTTCATTTCTCTGGGATAAAGAATAAATTGGGAGATTGGTAAGCATTTCCGTCAAACTAAGTATACATTATGAATATATTTCAAAGATCTTGGAACTTGTGACTTAGTATTCTAAGCATTAATATAATATTTATGTTGAACTTATCTTCGTTGGTGCACAGATTGCTTTAACCAATTAATCGTTTAACGAATTTTACTTCGTAAAAATTCTAATCATTAGACAGTTTAACCAACCTAGTTTGAAAATTCACCGAAAGAGCTACTTCTTCTGTATAGCACGAGAGAATTATTGACCTTATCAAACATCAGTGTCTGCCGCGGTGGTCATGCTTGTCACGTTGGTGATGACTAAGTATTTTCGTGACAAGGTTTGCTAATCTTTACTTTTGCATATTTTATCTGTTGTTGTTTTTTTTTTATTCGCTCGCTTTACTTAGGGTAAGATTTATGGTTAAAGTTTAGATCAATCATTTATTCTCTTTTTTCATTGTTTTTTTTTCTTTGAATCGCCGGGCGTTAGTTTTACCCGTTGGTAGAGCACTGGATTTCGCAACCAGCAAGAATAACTCGATTATGTGTAGCCCCCCAAGTAGCACAGCAGTATGTCTGCGGACTTACAACGCTAGAAACTGGGTTTCGATACCGGTGGTGGGCAGACCACAGATAGCCCATTGTGTAGCTTTGGGCTTAGCTTCAAACAAACAAACGATTACGTGTAACACCACAAAATATTCGTCACATTTTAAGTTGTAGTGCGTTATAAGAGTGACAATCCGTCCCTTAGTGTTGGCGATAAGGTGCTTATGATTGGCTTCCTTATATGAAATGGTCTGTCTTTCTGTTTCCATGCAGCTTCTCGATTATTTAACTCAAGCTGCCTGAATTTACGTTTCTAGAATCATAAAATCCCAATGGAGTCTTAGAATGATATTAAAATGTTTACAGGAAAGTACCTCGTGGATGGTGTCAGACAATGGCTGGTAAAATTGCTCGTATTTAGACTTTTTTTAGCTAGATATATTCCTTGACTCTTTCTTATATCCTCCTAGCGGGGATTTTGTAAACATTTAATTGGAGCTCAAGCATACATACTAACAAAAGACCAAAGTATTCTGTATGTAATTTGTTCTAAAAAGAAAAAAATAATTTATAACCAAATTTAAAAATAAGATCTTATTTGTAATTAAGCACAAAGTTACACAATGGGCTATCTGTGTTCTGCCCACCACAGGTATCAAAACCTGGTTTTTAGTGCTGTAAGTTTTCAGACATACCGCTGTGCCACTGGAGAGCCGAATAAAATCTACCATGTGGTATGTTTTAACCTGAACAACATCTGATGCAACACAGACTATAGACAGATACGCATATAACAGCAACTTATGATAATTGCTTAGTTTATTAACCTTACTGATTCTTTATGCGAACATGAGCTAAGCAGCCAGATTCAGAAATCCCAAACTTCATTATAATCTAACTTAGATGTTTCACAATTAAAGTCACCCCCACAGCTGAAGGTGCGGACGGTGTTCAGTGGCACATTGGGGCTCGAAGTTTGGAACTTCTGACCCATTAGCCCATCGGTAATGGTGTACTGGTAAACAAGGATTCTACACCAAAGTTAGCAAATAAAACGTTTTGTTCAAAGTTCAAACTTTTCTAGTTATCCAGAAGTTGGAAACTCTATGTACCGGTGTGATTCAAAAGTTATGTCAAGAATTTAAGTAAGTGCTGATTATAGGTACCAAAACCTAATATTTTAAGGCTATCTGGACAGTTCTCCCTATGAATTTTTTAATCCCTTAAATGTTTTTGTTTGTTTAAGAACACTCATGCAAACCTACCCACAAGGCCAAATGTCTCTAATTTGGAGAAGGTACCTAGTCAACAGCACCCACCGCTAACTCTTGGGTCGTAAAGTAGGATTGGCCAACACACTATATATAATTCCTCTACGGCTGAAAGGGCGAGCATGTTCGGTGACGGAATTCGAACCCGTGATCCCGTACATTGCGAGTCGAGCGCCCTAATCACAACACAACGTTCAGTATTGTAAATAAGTTCTGTGACTGTTCATCAAACAAAACCTTAATCATAAGTAAGTAGGTTATAACGCTGAAAATCGGATTTCGATATCTGTGGTGGGAATAGCACAAATAGCCTATTGTGTAGCTTTGTGCTTTACAACAAACAAACAAGCCTATATATATATAGCTTTATTTACACTTATTTTTATATTTGCTATATAAGAAAAGTTTGAAGTGGCTTTGATGACATGAAATGTCATTTGTTATTGTAAGGATGGTGAGTTTAAATGTAGTTCTTCTAAGTTATTCTCATTTTAATCTTTATAAAACATTCATGAACATGTAACTAACTTCTTTTATATTCTTTAGAGTTTCCTACAGGTCCTTCAGAAATGACGTCAGTAAACTTTCTTTACCGACATCTGACGGTAACAGTTCCAGTAGCCAGTTCTGTCTTGGTATTGATAGTTGTTTTTATAGTTGTGTGTCAAGTGACCCGGAGAAGATCTCCTGGTCCACGTACTCATTCTCCAGAAGGTAAAAAAAAAACGAAACTATTTACGCAGCTTTCATCTAATGTTGTTCAGGCAGCTCTAGTATTCAAAAATATACTTATTTCTAGCTTTTAATAAGATTTTCCTAAGTTTGTGTAAAGTCTTCGGTTACTTAGATTTCACAGTTTTATTCCAGTGCGTTTCGGTTAATTTCAATAATATTTTCCTAAGTTTGTGTAAAGTCTTGGGGGTCTTAGATTTCACAATTTTATTCCAGTGTGTTTCGATTAATTTCAATAATATTTTCCTAAGCTTGTGTAAAGTCTTGGGGTCTTAGACTTCACAGTTTTATTCCAGTGCGTTTCGGTTAATTTCAATAATATTTTCCTAAGTTTGTGTAAAGTCTTGGGGGTCTTAGATTTCACAGTTTTATTCCAATGCGTTTCGGTTGATTTCAATAATATTTTCCTAAGTTTGTGTAAAGTCTTGGGGGTCTTAGATTTCACAGTTTTATTCCAATGCGTTTCGGTTGATTTCAATAATATTTTCTTAAGTTTGTGTAAAGTCTTGGGGGTCTTAGATTTCACAGTTTTATTCCAATGCGTTTCGGTTAAAATAGTGACTTAAGTTTTTGTTGTTTTTCTAGCTTTTCGTTAAATGACGTTATCATTCTATCTATTTACTTATTCAAGTCACAGTTTACTATTAACTGCGTAAATGCTCTCTTGTGGTATTTTATTGAAATTAAAAATGTATTTAAAGAATTCGTTGTCTAGACGAGGTTATTCTGTATTCCATTATTATATCCTGTGTCCGTTCAACATAGAAAATTTTCTTTGCCTACCGTGCGAAAATAATCCCATTTGAATTACTAATTGAGACACGTATACAGCCAATGTAATTCGATCAGTGGTTACAGGTTTAGTATGAATTTAAACAGGTAACACTATATCATTTAAACGTTCATGCAAAGTGTCACGACAGACCATATAATTTCGTTGGTTGATTTCCATAATATTCATACTTATCCAGTGAATAATGTAGCAAAGTTCTCGTTTACGTTCATGATAAAAATTCGGAATTACTTTCTGCAGCACCTAAAGCACAACACAGTTAATATTATTTTACCTTGTTTGTTGAAATATATTTAAATTGCCATAATATGCTCCTTTTGTAAAATTGCAAGGAAGGTGAAAACTCGCATCAGAAATAGATTTTTTTTACTCTTTTAAAATGTAGCATTTTTGCTTAGAAATAGATTTTTTTCTTTTAAAATGTAGCATCTTTGCTTGAAATAATCTATTTCTGAGCAAAGATGCTACATTTTAAAAGGTAAATAATCTATTTCTTTATTTGCGATCTGTAAATCTGTAAACTTACGGCTGACCCACTGGGAGACTTCTTTTACATAAAGATCCTACAGCATTGAAACTTAAATGAAATCTTACCTCATCTGTTTATTAGCGGGACCAATATATCCTGCCTAATTATCATTATTGTTTTTCATAAGGCTTACACACTCCAGAAATGTTTGAGTGCCAGAAAAGAAACGGAAAACATCTTCTGCCAGAAACGAGATACTTACAAACTCATAAACATAATAACACTTTAAATGTTTGAAATGACCTCTTGTTAGAGTGGCGTCTTGCTCGAGCAAAGATACTACATTTTAAAAGAAAAAAATCTATTTCTGAGCAAAGATGCTACATTTTAAAAGGGGAATAATCTATTTTTGAGCAAAAATGCTCTATTTTAAAAAGAAAAAAGCTATTTCTGAGCAAAGATGCTACACTTTAAAAAAGAAAATATCTATTTCTAAGCAAAAATGATACATTTTAAAAGAAAAAAAATCTATTTCTGAGCAAAGATGCTACATTTTAAAAAGGAAATAATATATTTCTGAGCAAAAATGCTCTATTTTAAAAGAGAAAAAAGCTATTTCTGAGCAAAGATGCTACACTTTCAAATAGAAAAATCTAATTCTAAGCAAAGATGCTACATTTTAAAAGTCCCATTATGTAGCTTTTAGCTAAAATACACAGACTGTTTAAAAGTATATATTTAGCTTTTGGGGTTAAAGCTGTTAATATGTTCCTGAGAAAGATCATTATGACTTGTTAGAAACATTTAAAAAGTTGTAGTTTTAAAATTACATCTGGTTACAAATATTTAAAGCTATGATAAATCAGGTTATTTTGTAAAGTAACCTCAGTATCCAGTTTAAGTTTTTAAATGAATCAGCCTGTTACATTTTTGTTTGTTTTAACAGCATTAAAATTTGAAGATTCCCTCGATTTGCCCGTTCTGGTTGTATTGAATTTTACACATTGGTTTTCTAGGAACAGAAAACAGTGAACAGATAAAGCCAGATAATATGTCACTCACTGTCACGTACGACAGTAACCAAGAACCAGCTTACCTTCCAGCTCCCTATGCCACGACTAAGATCCCAGTGTACTCTCGAGATCAGGGTGGACCGCTCAGGGGAGGATCAGATCCGGGCATGCGCACATTTGGCAGTAGTCGCCATCTTTATGATGTACCAAATCCAAACAGAAGGGTAAGTTTGAGTTTTGCAGCTCTTGTCATCTCTTCATTTTGTTAAATCGATTGTCTAAGAAAATATCGTGTTCTATGTTCGTACTACGGTCTCTTTGTCGGGACCGGATTAATAACTAGGGGAGCCCGGGGCACATTTTTAGGAGAGGGCGTCAGAACTAAACTTCATAAATAAGTCAAATATAATTCAATATTACGTATTAAGTACCTTGTTTGTTTGTTCTAGAGCAAAGTCACATTGGGCCATCCGCTGTGTTCACCGTAGGGAATCGATCCCCGGATTTTAACGTTGTAAGTCCGTAAGTTTACCGCTGTCCCACCGGAGGACATATTAGGTACAACCTGAGCAACACACAAACACAAGTGATATGTAGATAACATACAAAAATACTAATCCTTATATTTATAATAAATACAATAACATGTGAGAAACTGTTAATGAAAAATGGCAAAATAATACGTTTATATGAAACGACTAAAAATGTAGGGGTGAAAGAGGGGGCAAGTGGGTGTTTTGGGGCCCTTGGATGCGGTGATATTCTAAACTTCACGTGTCACTTGTCGGTTAATAATTTAATATAGCAGACACAGGCAGATATACATAACCGTATTTTACACTGTTTTGACATTTGATAACTTTGTACATGTGTTTGTGATTTTGAATAGAATTCGGGAGCCCCTAGAGTCGTACCAGTTTAAATTCGGGAGCCCCTAGAGTCGTACCAGTTTAAATTCGGGAGCCCCTAGAGTCGTACCAGTTTAAATTCGGGAGCCCCTAGAGTCGTACTCGATCTTTCACTACAGATCTTTTTTTTATTAAGTTGTACTTAATATTGAAAAAAAAAAACACCTTCAAAATTATGTACGATATTTTAAATCTCTAACTAAGCCTAACATCTGGCTTTGAAAAGATTCGGGTTTAAAAGTTATTTCATTTACTTTCTAGATATACTAGCGTCGCTATATCAAAATAAGAGCTACTTACATATTAAAGGGATGTATTCATTCAAGAGCAAAAGGAGAGTGAGGGAGGGGGCAACTCTTAACTGTAAACTAACATAACACCAGCTAATATTAGTTCTCATATCAAATGTTTTTAATCACAATTTGACAGCTAATACTTTCAAAATCAGAAATTATGTTATTACATTACCTATTTTTGAAAAGTAAGATAATCTAGTTTTATAGTTTAATTCTTACGTGTGTGTGTGTGAACTAAATACTCTTTCAAATTGCTGTACCATAACCATTTTTCTGAACATAATGCTAGAAATGTGTTAATACATATATGCTTCAAAACAGCTTAAAGTGAGTATAGGTATATATGGTGAACATAGAAATACTGATACGTATGTACGTGTTGCTAGGTGTTGTTAAAAGTTTTAACAATTATCATCCTAGTGATGTATATGTACGTGTTGTTAGGTGTAGTTAAAAGTTTTAACAATTATCGTCCTAGTGATGTGTATTTACGTGTTTTTGCGAGGTGTGGTTCAAAAGTGTTTTAACAATTATCATCCTAGTGATTTATATGTACGTGTTGCTAGGTGTAGTTCAAAAGTGTTTTCAACAATTGTCCTCCTAGTGATGTGTATGTATGTGTTGTTAGGTATAGTTCAAAAGTGTTTTCAACAATTATCATCCTAGTGATGTATATGTACGTGTTGCTAGGTGTAGTTCAAAAATGTTTTCAATAATTGTCCTCCTAGTATGTGTATGTACGTGTTGCTAGGTGTAGTTCAAAAGTGCTTTCAACAATTATCATCCTAGTGATGTGTATGTACGTGTTGCTAAGTGTAATTCAAAAGTCTTGTAACAATTTTAAATGAAACAGCGCCCATTGTGAAATAAGCAATCTCGATGTTTGCTGTGTGAAATTATACTGTAAATCTGGATGTTTTAGTTTCTTTAGTTCGTTTAGTGTTTTTTATAACTACTATTCTGTAGATGGAATCTAAGCCTGTCAACAGCAGCATTGTTATTAGCGATTATCAGAAGACTGGTAAGTATTTAGCGAGAAATATTTATATTTTTAATCAAATTACAATATCTTCTAACCTTCTAATATACTTTGATCACTAGTGAAAGCTGAAATATTGATGAAAATTCGTTTTATCTGTCAGACAAAAACGACGAAAAATCAATTAAACTCTCTCTCTCTCTACTATCTTTCTAGTTACAACATTAAAGTTTTTCGATACGTAAGTAACACACACCAGGAAATATTATAATAAAACTCATAAGAATGAAATGAAAAACAAGAATCTTGGTTAGTATTTCTTTTTAGAAGATTAGTGATTTTTCTTTCTGTCACAACATTTGTAATTTCATTTCATTGTATCGGTTATCGATGAGACTTTACAAAACTATTAACGTTCAAAATGAAAATGTTTTAATATTCAAAACTCATAACATTGTACTTTGCGACTCCAAACTGTGATCTACAATAATGGAATGAAAAAATCAATGGGAATTTTTTTTTTCAAATTCTGTTCTCAGTTCTACGTACATGTAATAATCCACAGGAGATTCGAGTTATTCTTAAGATGCATTTATATGCAAATTTCTAGAAATATATACCCAGTACAAGTATGAAGACGAGCCATTTATCCACAGCTTTTAATGAATTTCAAAAACTAATGTTTTTTTAATAACCTATGATAACAGTTCAGCGTTATAAGAAAAATGACAGTATATAAAAACATGAACTTTGTATACTTCAACACGACTTATTTTTTCAGTATGTCAAATGGCGATGGTTGACTTTTTATTGGCTTGTTTGTTTGTTTTTGAATTTTGCGCAAAGCTACACGAGGGCTATCTGCTCTAGCCGTCCCTAATTTAGCAGCGTAAGATTAGAGGGAAGGTCATCACCACCCACTCTTTTACCAACGAATAGTGGGATTGACCGTCACATTATAAAGCCCCCATGGCTGACAAGGCGAGCATGTTTGGTGTGACGGGGATTCGAACCCGCGACCCTCAGATTGCGAATCGAGCGCTCTAACCACCTGGCCATGCCGGGCCGCTTTGTAATGGCGATGGTTGACTTTGTAATGAATCTTTAGATTTAGGAGCTAGAGAGCCGATTTCGAATCCGCGCGATACCGCAGAATATTCCCGCACTTTAAACTATGTGTGCGTTCAAATTGTACATTCAATTTCTTAGGATAGATGGTAGGTGGTAAGGTACGACTAACTAACTTCCAGGGACTTACCAAGGGTAGCGCTAGCTATGTGCCGTACAGAGCGCCGACCCATATAGTAGGCACTAGTGTGCATCTTTGAAGACAACGATAGATTAGATGGTTTTCAATGAGGGAAACAGATTTAAAGACAAGATAGATTAGATTTTTTCAAATGAGGGAAGCAGATTTAAAGACAAGGATAGATTAGATTTTTTAAAATGAGGGAAGCAGATTTAAAGACAAGGATAGATTAGATTTTTTTAAATGAGAGAAGTAGATTTAAAGACAAAGATAGATTAGATTTTTTTTTCAATGAGGGAAACAGATTTAAAAACAAGTATAGATTAGATTTTTTAAATGAGAGAAGCAGATTTAAAGACAAGGATAGATTTTGTTATGAGGGAAGCAGATTTAAAGACAAGGATAGATTAGATTTTTTCAAATGAGGGAAGCAGATTTAAAGACAATGATAGATTAGATTTTTTCAAATGAGGGAAGCAGATTTAAAGACAAT